TTGCCCAAACGACGAGTTACCCTTCAGACGACTCGTCCTCGACGAGTTACTCTTTCGACGACCATGTTTTCGACGAGCTACCCTAGACCCTCAATTACAGCTCAACAATTCGCACTCTATAGAAACTCGAAGTACTCGCTGTAAATTAGAGCGAGTAAGTTTTTCATATGTTAATTTTCCACTTTATTTATGTATGTACATAATCTAAATAAAGTATAAAAAATCCATCCAGATTTCAGACGAAACATTTCACTTCATCAACTTGGCGTTACGGGTTTAGTATAAATAGTTCACTACACAAAAAATTAAGAGTGCATTTACGCAACAAAAGCGCAACATTATTTTTAACCTACCTGTGATCTTAATTTTAAAAAACAATTAGTTGAGTATAATTTTCACACCATGTTGACCCCGTGACAGACCCCATGCCACAACTAGCCACAAGTATACAGCTTACTATTATATTTATACCTACGAATTAATTTTGTTTCGCTCAAGCTCAAGTCAAATATTCCAATCGAAAATTGAATTGTTGTAGTATGCAATTTGGTAGCATTGTTTGGTGCCCTTAACCTTGACATCGAATTTTGTCTTCTGCTACCAATTTCAAAAAGCAGTGCGGGTCACCCCGTCGGGCCCCCTGGGCTAAAATAATCTTAAATTTACATATTTCATTTCGGCTTGATATCATGTACCCCTGGTTCATGCAAAATTTCTGCCGTACAATCTAGTTCAGAAGCCAGTGGGGGTGACCCTCCTTGGTAGTAAATAATAATTTGGCTTTATGAAATTCTATTTTCACTTTAGAACACAAATACATAAATATGTACAACCACTGTATACAGGAAAAATAACAGATTTAGAAATTTTCACACCAATACTTATAATGTTTAATTATATATTGCACCAATTCAATTTTGATTGGTATATTTGACTAGATCTTGAATACAAAATAAAATTAATTCTTAGCGTGTAAATACAGTAAGTTGTACATTTATTACATTTATTACATTTGTACATTTATTCATGGGGTGGGGTCAATGTGTCGTGGGGTCAATATGGCGTGGAGTCAACATGACCGGGGAAATCTGTTGCGGGTCAATCTGACGGGGTCAATTTGACGCCTTATCGTTTCTGGCATTGCACACCCTAAATAAAAATGAGTAAAATTTACTCAAGGTTGGGTAAAAAAGAGGCTGACACAACTAGAAGGTAAAATTTGTCCAACGTTGTGCCAAATTTATCCAAAGTTGTGTAAAATTTGCGTTTTGGTTGTGCCATCCTCTTTTTTACCCAGCCTTGAGTAAATTTTACTCATTTTTATTTATAGTGCATACTGAGATTTGAAGTTATGAAATTTCAACATAAATATCAATATCGCTCCCTGAACAAGATATCGGCTAGCCAAATGTATGTAGAAGGCTTAGGACAACAAAATAAATAAAGAATGCAATCCAAGATACCAGATACCGCTCATCACATAACTCAATTTATGTAGCTACATCGGCATCGATTTAAATATACATATTTACATATCCTTATTTTAAACAAACAAGCCTTCCTATACTAGGGATTATGTGTACCCATGGATTTTAAACATGGTTAGAATTATATACCTAATCTACAAGTTATCCATGCCTCGATTTGAGTTTGGTTATAAAATAGGTCTATTTTAGTTCCCTGTTCAAACAAGATTTAAACATTGTCCAATGTCAAAATTATTGAGAACAATAAATCAGAGGTCGACCAATTTTCCGAGTCAATTTACCATTTGTCGACGGCGTCATAACGTTGCAATAATAAAAACGCATTGGCGGTTAAAAATGTAAGTTGAAATGAGCGCTTTACATACGCGTGGCAATGTGATTTTGGATCGGATCGCTCATTGCTTTATTCGAAATGGGGACGCAACCACGTTCAACCCGGATTATTTTTCTACCTCCTCACGTTGACAGACAAATACTTTAGAAACAACATTTAGTTAGTATGGAAGTTAGGAAGTTCACGATAAATCAATGCGCGTTAAGTTTGACTGAGGTGCTATCGCTAGTTACTGATTAAGCTCTAAAAAAGCGTTTTGAAGAATTTTGAATTCTGAATTTTGCGCATCTGTGCAAGTCCCGCGCTAAATTTTCTTTCTAAAGGATTGACAAGTATCACTGAGATATTAACCAAAATTTCGGTTGAACATGGTTTGCGCCCCCGTTGTCCGTCGCATCGGCTTGTCACTCTTCGGCGCGGCGGCGTTGTATCAGCGGCGGCGTCGACTTATGTTCTGCATACATACATAATTTATTCCTTCATCCTGCCACGCAATTTCCACCGATATTGATGAAACTTCTACGTACTATTTAAATATTTAACACGTTATGAAATTAATCCCATAAAAAGCCCGAGGATGGTGGAAGTCTTGTTTAAATAAAATTAGATCCGTGTCAAAATTAAATCAGTCATTAACATTTTAATCAAATTGTCTTTAAATGGACAACTTATTCAAGCTTATTAAACACCACTTAAAATATGGTGACTTGTTAAGATGTAATTACGGAACGTGGTCGGAGAAAGAGGGCAGATTCATTATCCGACCTGGTCGTCTTAACAGATTTCTTGTCAAGGCTTCCATAACATTCAACATGGTCCAAATATTGTACCAGGTTTACGTCACTGTTATAATATCCGAGTCTTGGGTCGAATTCGGGGAGGGGCTCGGCATTACGACGTTGTACATCACGACGGGCTTTCAAAGGTTTGAAATCTTTAATGTGGATCAAGATCCGTTGAAAATTCTAAACTATATCTATCGATTCAAAGGTTCGTACATTTTTAACTTAACCATATTCAAATTCAGATGTTAACAATTCACTTATTCAAAGCAGAATTAACAAATTATTTGAATGAATTTCATTATTCAATAAATTTGTGAATAATATGGGAATAATTTTTTGAAAAAACTTTTAGTAAGTAATATTGAGTAAATATTGATTCATATCGGATTTATATGAATGAATAATTACTCATTTTTTTCTGAGGTGAGGAAAGTAACCAAGGGCTACCCTCATTTTACTTGGTGCTTATAAATGGGGGTATATTGAAAAATATATCTAATAAAGCGAATTTGAGATAAAATTAATAAAAAGGTTAATCTGAATAGATATTTATTCCAATTTTTTAATAAATGAATACGGAATGAATGATTTGTTCCAAGCTATATGTAGATTGAATCAACTCTAAATGCGTGTTTGTGAACTGGTATGATTAATATACATATTATGCTAATTAAGTAATATCTAGATTTCAGTTACGCTCGCTCCGAGAAAATGATCTTAAAATGCATTTGCTTCATGTTCAACCTGATCGAAATATGCTACTGGGTGTGGGTCTTCTTCATGGCGGTCTTGTCTCTTTTCGCCCCATGCAAGCCACCCCTCCTGTCCTCCCCCTTCTGTCGCGGGACTGTAACAACTCGGCTTGTATTTTCTCTAATTGAAAGTATCTCTGCATTTCAATCCATGATTGGCGGTTCTTACCACGGTATGCTTCACATAATAACTTCACTATAACTGGGTATCTAATACATAGGTTAATTATTCATTCATTATTCAATAAATTCATGAATAATGAATGAATAGTTTTTTTAAATCTTTGACTGAATGAATATTGAAAAGAAGATTATTCGTTTCATATTCATAAATTACTTCATTCATTCTTCATTTATGATTCTGCTTAATTCACGGGGTATATTGAGAAATCCACTTAAGAAGGCGAGTTTGAGAAAAAAATAATAGAAAATTGATAATGAATTAATATTCATTTTCAAACATTCCTGAATTTTTAAATTGGATGAATTTTGAATGAAGAAATATTTTGGACAGGTGTATTTCACATGTTGACTTTCTTTTCCTTCTTATGGATCGGATGTTTGGGTTTGGATCAAAATCCCGTAACCTCTGGGATTTCGGAGCGTCTTCATACTTACCGGAAACTTCTTGTGCTCGAAAAATGGATAAACTCATGCATGCGACACCGCGTTTTTCTCACAATTGCCCTTGTCGTTCCAAACATGCAAATATTTTTTGGTTTCATGTCCATCAAAATGCTTAATTCAAAGGACGCCGATATCTCCAGGAAAGCGATACTGCTCTATTTTTACTGGGCATTAACGATTTTCTCCATGCTCACGTTTACCTCGGCGGCCAAGGTGAACACGTTGAGTGATAGTTGGTTAAAGAAGCAAAGTTTTGATAGGAGTCATGACCGGAAAGTTTTGAATTCATTGATACCTCTTAAACTGGAATTTGGTAATAATTTCGTGGAAGGATTAACACCTTTAGTGGTTCAGGAGTTCTGTGTTAGGCAAACGGCTTCTTTATTAATGTCAATGTCGACATAAATAAATATGTATGCACATCTTTACACGCTGTTGTTCTGTAAAGAATTTTTTTACAGGTGACTACTTGTGGTGTAAATATGTAAATACAAAATGGTTTGTCTCTTACTACATAAAAGTAGATAGTAAATAAATATATGTATGTATACTAAACAAATATGTAAAATACGTGATATGTGTAAATAGATATGCAAACATCAGTGATACATGCTCGTACATCGCGTAAGAACAGTCCTCATAAATATGTATGTACATTGAATAAGATACATATGCACGACGGACATTCTGGATTGACTTTTTTAAAACAATTTTATGGTCCAAATGTTTGAGTACGTTGTCATCAGGGATATTTTAAAAAACATCAAAAAATTTTTAATAGCATACTAAATAAACTTTCGTAACTTGGTTACTCACCAGTTACTGTGTCATGCAACATTTTACTTACTCTTATGTAAGTGAATTTGAAATAACTTAATTTAGAGTGTAGTTAGATTAAGCAAAAATGGCTTTGAGATAATATCACTGATAAATATGAGATAAATTTACATACATAAGCTTAAAAACTGATTATATAAGTAATGAGATAAAAGTGCGGTATCTCCATTCAGCAAGTTTAGCTATAGCTGGGAGAATAACCTGTAAATTCAGTGTAACTCTTGTCAATAGTTTAACGTTTTTGCTTTACTTTCTGGCTAAATTCTGCATCATCCTTAATATTTCGTGATGAAGAAACAAATCCATAAATCAAATAAGGATCCATTAACTCTCTACTATCCCCTTTATGCCGTGGCCATGGTAAGATACATACGTAGGAATATTGTTTAAGGTTCATAATTATCCATATTTTTTTAATTGTTCAACTAAATAATTTGTTAAACAGACTTTCGGATCAATTAATTTAGTCTTGGGGACGTATGAGTACGGAAAGTCTCAACTGTTCCTCATTCTTCCATCCGTATTCATGCTGGCTCACACTGTCTTCATTTTTGTTGCATTTTCAATTCGCAATTTCGAAAAATCGGAAGGATTGGTCAATTATGTGAGTTACTTTTTCTGGTATGAATACACTCTTAAAAATAATGTTACCCTTTGGAAAAGTAAATGTATTCTGAATTCTGTATTAAGTAAACTATACAAAATCGAAATCAACGGTTACTTAATAAAGCGTAAAATTTACACTGCATTTTTATTTAATACAGAATTTAAGATAAATTTACGTAGGTTTCAAAAGGGTAACATTATTTTTAAGAGTGTAGAACATGTCAGAACTATTTAATTACTAATAAGTCGTTACTATACATGTATTTTAATACTTGATCCAGATTTACCGTTTTAACAATTATGGCGCATTGATAATTGGAATTGGATCGTTCATTAGTCTTTTTGATCTGGACATTTATTACCAAGCAGCTCCCACTTCCCTCATTTCTGATGTGAGCAGATGCATATTTACATATTTAAAAAACGTATTTATGTATGTAGTTAATGCACAGAAAGGACATTAATATTCTAGATTTTCGGACTGTTTTTCCTATCCTCGATATATGTCGCCCTGGGATATTCGATTAACAAAGAGGCGATAAATACTTGGACAATTACGTCACGATGGACTCTAACCGAAGGAAAATATACACCCTCATCCAAGCCAATCTTTTCCGCGAAAGCGTAGCGGTGTCGCTACATATTTTATGCATAATTAATAACAACATTTGTCAGAGATTTTATCAAGTACATATTTTAAGATGCTGACATTTTAATGTTACGCAAGGTAATAGCAATACGTATACATAAATGAATATATAAATGAGTATGTAAATCAATATATAAATATGAATGTATGTACCCTGCCGAAATACCTTTTTAACATTACCAATTATGAAATATGGGTACTACCTATTTATCTCCAAATGAATGAAAATTGGAAATTTTTATTTTTATTATTTTGTTAACCACATGTACACTCTTAGAAATGGGGTTACAATTATAACCAAAAACTAAACAAATGTGACTCTACCGCCGTGGTTATGAATTTGCCACCAACTGGTTATAAATGTATTAGCTCTGGTGACAATTTAATACCAATCAATGTGAAACTTTATAATTAGTCGGCGACAATTGTAACCACTCGATGAGAAATATATAACCATGGCGGTCGAGTCACATACGTTTACTTTGTGGTTATAATCGTAACCTCATTTCTAAGAGTGCAGCATCTTGATTTGGTTTGCTCTCCTGGTCATTCATACTTTAAAATTGAAACATAAATTGAGAATTTATACATTTTTATCAACCTGACTCAAACCTAGGACTTAAACGAATCCACGGGAACAGCCAGCATCAGCGAGACCGTATAATATAACACGGTTGCTCGATACTCTATCTTAAAGTTCTTCTTAACTGGGTACAACCTCCCGCCAAGGTAAACATGGAACCCCAAACGTGGCGAGGCTAACAACCTTCGATACGTAATTGACTTCCTGGTCCCACATTTCCATTTCATGAGGTTTAGATTCGTGTCAAAAGTTTGATACGTTTTCGCAGCCAGGTCCACCACTTGCGTCACAAGGATTCCAGCGACTCCTGCCAAGTAGGGAAATATGCAGTAGACCGTTGTCGGAACTAGGCCAAACATAGTGAGGGTGGCATAGTTGTAGAGTACCTGTGAAAATTTTGAAACATATAATTCTGGCACAAATTAGGACCGTTAAAACATAAATTGTGTAACGCAAGAGTGGGGAGGGTTTAGAAAATCGGGATTTTTGGGTTGCGTAATTTATGGACGGCCCCTTTGCCCGATCAACGCTTTCAGAAAGGGAGCCCCAGTTCTTTTAATTTTCAAGAAATATCCGTACCTTTTGGTTATCAGATATTTTTTACATTTTAAAATCTAATTGTAAGCCAAACTGCTTTCTAAAGGGTGTAAATTTAATCTGGTAACATTTTTCACTGCAAAGAAAATGCTTGTTTTTCGAAACTGCATATATTACAAAAACCAATTTTCTTCAGAATTTACCTTACTATTTTGTGTTTTCACCACGTACTTCGATCATGCCCTGAAGGTCATGCTTCATGTACTGTGCAAGATGATTTTTGTCGTGCTCAAAACCCACCGGCTACCATAACTTCATACCCTAATTTCAGGACTCCTATCAAGCATTGGTTTAATTTCTTTGCTCTTCTGTATGTTCAATTTTGTCAGTGTAATTTAGGATACAACTAAATTTGCGAGTTATTGGTTTAGAGGATATGGCGACAAAATTCTTGAAGCAGTCAAATTCCCATTCTTTCATAGCGTTTATGTCAATGCAACATGGTCATCCATATTTTTTGGAGACGGATGATTTTATTTGCTTAGCTTATAAGTTCGGTGAACACATAGTACAAATTCATCGGCAGTTATCATCACAATGGGCTATTTGTGCACGATTTTAATTTAATCCGTTTTATGTTTTTCCGCTCCATTCCACTATTTGGACGAAAACTTTAAGTTATCTCAGGAAATTTGAGTATAGTCATTGATTTTGTGGTAGGTGAGACCCTTTTGGATGGTTCGGGTCATTTTTCATCCTTGAAAAAAATTTTCTTCCCGCATTTCCACGAACTTTTTCGGCACATCCGAATTTTGGAAGATTTTAATTATTAGTTGGAATTTCCCGCTTCTAAGACCTGCATCTCAGTTTGATGGTGCTTTTTATTAACAACTATGTTCATACCACTCATGGGAAAAAATTCAAAGAAAAACATTAACGGGATCAATAATTATGACTGATTTTGTCTCGAGCGGGGATCTAAAAATCCATGTTACCGGATTAAATTTACACCCTTTAGTTTTCATCCGATCGTTTTACTAGATTACACCTAGGGGACCACGGGTACCCCAAAAATCGGGCTGTCGACTCAATTCTTGTATTAATCACCACATTTTCGAATAGTTGTCCCTACAAAAACAGTTGCGTCGCGGAGCAAAACTACCAGAATAAGTTTGCTCCGCGACGCAAGTTTTTTCGTTAACTGTTATTTCGCCTACATTGTAAAAACTTGAGGAATCAATTCATTTGCTCCTACAGAGCATTTGCATACCAGCATCACAAATCCGGCAGCGAAAACGATCGTCATAAAAACCGCTGTCCACAGCCTCCTTCGCGTGTAGAGAATTGCGATCTGTCGGTAAAAGTGTAACCCGGCTAGATAACTTTGTTTCGTCATTTTCATCCACATATGCGTCTCCCTCTTCACGACGTTCATTACAAATAGTGGAGAAGTAATGAGAAGCACGAACAATCTGCATGGTTCTGGCCAACCTATTAAAAGCAAGACAGTTCGTATGAGAAGAGTACCCCTCCTGGTGGAAGTGGAAGCGCCGTCCAGTTGAAAAAGTAGTATAATGGGTCCAAGTCATAAGAAACACAGAGAAAGGTAAAAATGAAGGGAGCCATGACGTAAAACTGGGCCACGACGGTGGCAACCTTATTGATATCAGCGCTTATCTGGTGTCCATTTTCCTCCTTGGTGAGACCTCAAGAAAGACGTGTCAAAATTATCCGCAATTTTCAAATACTTGATTTCAGTAAAGTATAAATTAGTACCGAAGTAGTACAAAATCAATACCACGAATTTCATCTTAATACCGTCACGATAGTAATGCAAAATCGTATGTACATACCCGTTGGTATTGAATTTATACCACGACGGTAGAGTCACATATGAATATTGATCTGGTATTGATTTTCTAAGAGTGTGCCTGCCCTTGTAAAAATAATGTTGGACGGGAAACCCGAAACCCAGGTTGAAAACAAAACAACGAAACTTCAACGAGTCGGAAGATTTAATTATAAAATGATAGACTTACATTCCCTCAAATTTCCAAACATTTTAAACGCATGATTAATTTCACCCGTAATAAAGCCCTCGTCTAAAACAATTATTGGTATAGATGTCACCACCGAATAGGCTACTAAGGCCGTCGTGAGAATGCTAAGAGTGACCACAGGGAGTGGCACGCCGTCTTCCAAGGTGCCCATGAAATACAACTTATTCACCAAGAATCTCAACACGATTGAGTAAGCCGGGATGACCAGCACTACAAATGAGGTGACGATTTTCACCCAAAATTTGAAATATGGACGAAATCTCCAATCTAGTCTGAAAACTAGATTTTTCTGGTCCCAGTGTAACGGAAATTTTCCAAATTTCTCTATGATTTCCGTGTAGGCGAGGATCACACCGAAAAATTCGGCAATTTGGGGGGAAGACGAAGTCATTTTAGAATATTCTTGCACAACCGAGAAAAGTGTTCTAAAGGGCTGTGATAAGCAGCAACGTTTTTCCAATTTTCGATAAAGTGGACTTTTAGAATGCTACAAATATAATTTAGTTGGGTTTGTGATTTATAGTCATACGTGTAAATAATAAATGAAATAAACCCGCAAAGAGATATAAGGAGTTCTACTACACACACAGTCATATGTATAAATAATAAATGAAATAAGCTCAAAAACAGATATAATAAATTGGACAGAACGGAAAGGCAGAGGAGATACATAGATTGGACGGGGGTCAAACATATGTATTAACGGGGCTGAATTCACATAAGCCGTATTCTTAGAGTCCTGGACAAACGGACAAAACGATAGCAATAACTCTGCCTTGCTCGTTAACAACTTTATGATTTTGATTCCGCATAAAGGAAAATTAGATTAAATATGTATTAAAACATTAATATTTTCATTAAAACACTAAGAAATTTTATCACCAGATTAGTATCTAAATAAACCGTTACAACGAATGTAACCAAGGGATGAAAGAACTGTTTAATACGTTAAAATGAATTCCTTGTTAAATTGACATATATATGTCCTATGACCTTTAGATGACCTCTGAGGTCAAAATGAAGGTCACCATTGGATTCGACGTTGAAAAATATTTGACGTGTCACATGTCAAAACTGACACGTGACACTTTTTCGTCACTTTTCGTCACTGTGACGACGTCATCGTCACAGGTGACGTCCAAGTGCAAAATGACATGAATTTTCGAATTCCTCGTTGAAAAACGGTTAAAAATGATGTGTCACATGTCAAAATTGACACGTGACACTTTTTCGTCACTTTTCGTCACTGAGACGACGTCATCGTCACAGGGGACGATGTCACAGTGTCCATCTTCGAACTCGTCCTATCCATTGACGTTAGGAGTTTATGTTCAAAATTTCAAGTGTCTATGTCTTTTCGTTCAAAAGTTATCGGAGCTACGGACAGACGACAAAATTTGTATAACAGTTAGAAAAACTGTACTCAATTGTTAAAGAAATGTATGCAATTGTTGAAAACAAATTTACGCAATTGTTTAAGAATTGTACTCAATTGTTAAAAATTTTTAATAAATTGTTGAAGAATTGTATTCACTTACATATTAAAAAATGTTAATCAATTGTTGTGTCATCCACCTTTTTCTTACTCAACCTTGGGTAAATTTTCTACCACTATTATTTAGTGTATCAAGAGCACGAAGTAAAAAAACGGAACCACCGAAGCCGGTACGTCAAAATGACCACAATGCATGATATTAAAACAAATTAAAGGAATTTCCATCCAAAACTCCCTTTTCGTCAAGTTGTGACGATATTTGTGACGAGCAAGAGGTACATGTACAGCATATTTGTGACGTGCTTAATGTAAGCAGTGTGGCATTTGAGCACTTCCGCGAAAATAACAGGTATCTACTATCCTCACACACTGGACTGGCACCTCATTGTCATAATGTGACGCATTCGCGAGAGACATCTGACAATTCTGTTGCAGTGCTAAAGCACACGAGTGAAAGTAAAGAGTTGAAGTTTTAACCGAGGGTGAGTAGATTTTATTTAATATCTTGAAGGTTTGGCTCTTTTATGAATACCACCATCCAATGAAATTGTGAAACAACGATGTGC